ATTGTGTGTCAGAGGGTGGATGGACCAGCGGCTCTTTGGGAGGCTGGCAGGTGCTGTGATGTGGCTGTGTGGTGATCGGAGCCTGGCCAGGGAGGTGGTCAGACAGCTGAGAGAAACCATGGAGACGTGGAAATCAGATGTGGACTCTGCTGGGGTTCTTGCCCTGGGGATGGTACGGGCAGTACCCTGTTCCTCATGAGGAAGAAGAGGAGGAGCAGACACCTGGGCTGTATGGATCCCCCACTCCTACCACACTCTCCTGTTTCCTGGGGCCTTTGAGGGCACAGGCTTCTTTGGGCCTTTTCTCCCAGCCTCCTGATGTCTCTGGCATGCTTTGGGAGGTGGTAGCAGGGTGACCTGCCCTCCGTCTGCTCCCAGCCCCATACAACCTAGCCCCACTCCTCTTGCTCTTTGATCCCTGGCTCCTTGGTGTCTCTGGAACCAGCCTGCTCTAGCTCTGGCCCTGCCAGGCAGGAGGGCTCCTGTGCCACACAGGCAGATGTAATTCTGCTCTGCCCACCTCTGACCTCCTGGAGCCCAGACCTGTTCTGGGCTCTGGCAGAGCTTCCCCACTGCACCACCCAGCAGCCACCCTGTGCCCTGCCTTCACTGCTGTGGTCCCACCAACTCATCAGCTTGCTTTGATCACACTTGAGACTCCGGGTACAACTGACGTCACGACTTCATTGCAACCTAAACCTTGGGGCAGGTGTCCATCTATGATGCAGTTCCACAGACCAGGGTCACTGTTTGGGGGCTGCGGGTTGGGGAACCAGGCACATATTCCTGGTCCTGCTCTTTTCTGGGTGTCCACAGTGTAGTCCCACAGACATGATTCTCCCAGAGTCTCCCCTGGCGCACCCTCCAGCAGTCACCACCACCTGGGCACACCCCACCACCACCTAGCACCTCCCCTCAGGCATCCTCCTCACTCCCCCAGCTGCCACCCCACTTCACTCCAAAGTGCAAGCAGCTTCATGGAGGCTGGGTTTGATGGGAGCCAGGAGAGCTGCTTCTGGTGGTGGGTACCTGATCCCTGTGCTCAGCTCGGGTATTCTTGGACTCCCTCTCTGTTGGGGGGCACTGCGTGCCCTCTTCAGGAAGCTCTGCTTTGGATCTGAGTAGTTGGGAGAAGGCAGTAGGGACAGAGGCTAAGAAGACAAATTAAGTCCAGTGGGAGAGACAGAGCTCAGATCTCTAGAGAGGCTGACCTTGCACAGGTGGGAGACAGAAGACAAAACCTGCTGTAAGGGTAGGAGTGACGCTGAGGGAGCCCTGCACCTGTGTGGGATGGGCACTGGTGATGCTGTGTGAAGAAGACAGCCTAAAGGTGGATGGGGAGCTCAGCCTGGCCAAGGAGAGGGGGGCGGGATGGCAGCTGGAGAGAGGCCAATCGTACAGCAGAGGATGTGAGGGTCTCAGCACCCCCAAGTGCCAGGCTCCTATGGAGGCCTAACCCAAGCCCTTCACAGGGCACACAGGCAGATCAGAAGCCACACAGTTGTGCCAAGCCCACCCGCACTTTCAGACAGTCTCATAGGTGCTTCTACTGCCCTGGCAGGTCCAGCTTGCTCCACCTGTAGCTGGGCCCCTGCACCTGAGTTCCTCCCTACACACAGTCTGGCCTGGGGCTCCCTGCGCCTAGCTGCCTGTCATGTGGTTGCAACTGTGGGCGTGTGGGCCTGGCCTGCTAACACTCTCTCTCATTGCTCTCTCCTGCCCATCTGCATGTGGCTGCTCTGTCTAGCTGCGCGGTGGTCCCGAGCGCCGGCTGTGTAAGTGAGCATGCTCATCCCATGCCTCTCGCCATTCACATGCCTGGCTGCCTGGGTCTCTGCTCTGTGTGGCTGCAAGGGGCCTGGTGCCACCAACAGCCCCTTGAGGCATCTTCTGGCCAAAACAGGGGATGTGGGGATGTGGGAGTAGGTTTTCTCTGGAGCAGTCATTCCAGGCGAGCCTCCTGCTGTGGCCAGGCTGAGGATGGGCTGAGGTCCAGGGTCCTGGCAGGTGAGGTTGGGAAGTGAGCTGCCATCGTTCTCATGTGTGTGTGTGTGTGTTGGTGCCTGTGTGTGGCGCTGCTGCCTACCACTGCTGCTGCATGCCAGTAACATGTGTGAGTGCCATTGCTGCGGTTGTGTATGTTGTGTGCGGGAAGTTGCCTTCCTGTCGTGGCTGTGCACTGCCACACATGTGCCCTGCATGTGCTGCCACTACACTGGCGTGAGCCTCGCCTGGTATGTCTCCAGTCTCACAGCCTGTTCAACCTGAGCGGCTGCCAGCCTTCTCTGTGCCTCAGCTGTCCCTGAAGCTAGCCCAAGCTTCCCTGGGTCTCCTCATGAGGGCAGAGCTGTGGGGCAGTGGTGAGGGCACTGTCCGAGTCACTGTCCGGGGCATCTGTGCCCAGAAGTGGATCTGAGGCTGGCAGGGAGGGGCAGCCAGCCCTCTGTGCCAGGGGAGGCTGCCTTTCCTTTGGTGGGCTGCTCATGGAGCCTCGATGGAGTGGAGGGGCACCAGTCTTCCTGTTCATGTTGCCGTCAGGCTAGGGGTCTCCCAGAGCAGGACACTGGCTCTGACCCAGGGGCCAAGCAAAAGGGTCCCACCCTGAAGTCTTCCTAGGACCGGCGGCCAC